TAACTTTGCAGAACAAGGTACAGAAACTACAAAACGGAGCAGCCCGTGTTTTGACTTATTCAAATTATGACGCCGATGCTGGTTACTTGCTTAAGCTCTTGAGATGGAAAAACCTAGCTTCCCAGCAGCAAATACAAAGAGCCATAATGGTCTATAAGTCTCTGCATGGTTTAGCTCCAAATTATTTATGTTCTAAATTTGAAAGGCGAGAAACTGCGTATAACCTATGGGACCCTGAGGATAAGCTTAATGTTCCTTTGCCGCGCACAAACTATTACAAAAGTAGCTTTCGTTATAGTGGCACCACTCTTTGGAACAGACTTCCTCGTGACATGAGACAAGCAAAATCCCTCGGGTTATTTAAGCGTTTAATTAGGGAAGACGTTCAGGCGCAGCATTCGTGGAAAGCACCTTTAGTTAGGTTTGTGCTTTAAGTATAGTTTTTATAGTATCTTATCCATTTAATGCATGTTTATACATTTGAATGTTTTTATGGCCGATGAATTGTCCATGCATAAATAAAGATTATCTATCTATCTATCTATCTATCTATCAAGACAAATCATAAATGACATTTTCCAAAGTTTAATCAATCGGTCCTCTGTATCAAATAGCTTCATTGTACTCAACAACTTTATCTGTAGATGCTTCAAACTCGTCTTATCTTGTAAAAAAAAAAAAGCTTGGACCTCTAACGAGCCTACATATAACATGCAATCTATCTGAACCTTTTTACTACAGCACACTGATTTAATTTCAGAAACGTGACATGAACCTTTTAAGTATACAGAGTTCATTTTCGTTAACTGATTATATGTCGATAGTCTAACTGGTTGATATTTTAAAGGCACACAGTTTCTCTCTTTTTCACGCTGTTGGTCCCATCTGATTATTCCTTAATACCTTCTGGTCTATCCTTTACAGCCAAAGTGGGTCGAGAAGTTGGGAAAAACTTCTTAAAATACTTCATAAACCAGCCGAAGAATGTTTGGTACTTTCTACCAAACTTAGCACCAGTCAGCTCACCGATGAAGTTCCCTGTTACGTTGCCCAACATCTCCTTAATAAGGTCTTCAGAGTACGTCTCGTCCACATTTATAGAGGGGCCTGACACCTTTGCAACTTGGCCAGGTGATGTGGCGTACTCCTCTTCTGGTTCATCTGACGTCCCAGTTTTCTCCAAACAGCGGGTCAACTCTTCGTCAAAGTTTAGCTCTTTCAATTTTGCTCTGATTTCTTTAATTGCATTACTTTCTTCGATGGATAAATTACTGGACTGGCCAAGATTGACAACGTTTGCATCTTTCCTTACTTTGCTTTCGTTTCCCTCACCAAGGGTGGAGGAAAATAAAATACGATCGACATTTGCCATTAGGAAAGCAGCTTTTGCGTTCCTGTTGATACGTTTG